AAAAAACTGAAATATCACATTTACATAAGTATTCAGACCCTTTACTCAGTATTTTGTTGAAGCACCTTTGGCAGCGATTACAGCCTCGAGTCCTCTTGGGTATGACGCTACAAGCTTGGCACACCTGTATTTGAGGAGTTTCTCCCGTTCTTCTCTGCAGATCCTCTCAAGCTCTGTCAGGTTGTATGGGGAGCGTTAGTGCACAGCTATTTTCAGGTCTCTCCAGAGATGTTCGATCAGGTTTATGTCCGGGCTCTGGCTGGGCCACTCAAGGACATTCAGAGACTTTTAAACTCAGTTTTTCACAATTCCTGACATTTAATCCTAGTAAAAATTCCCTGTCTTAGGTCCGTTAGGATCACCACTTTATTTTAAGAATGTGAAATGTCAGAATAATAGGTCATTTTATTTTGTAGAGGGGAAATTAGGGGTTAAGAATGGCTACCACACTGAGGTGTCTTTTGTACCTTGCATAATTGTGCATGCAAATGAATACGAAAACCAGTCACAACAGTAGTTTGGCATTTATTGAGATGACTCATGTACTGAAGGCAGCTCTCCAGAGTGGTCACTAGCTGGCACAGCCACAAAATCATTAAATCTGATTTGAAACCTAACCTTAACCCTACCCTTAATCACACTGCTAACCCTAGTGCCTAACCTTAACCTTAAATTAAGACCAAAAATATCATTTTTGTTTTCATGACTTTTTATAATATCGCCAATTTCGACTTTGCAGTTGGCCCTTCTAGCGGAAATAGCTCAATTAAGCCTCCAGGGCAAAACTCATGCCAATAAACATTAACCTGTGTCAAATCAAATCAAATCAAATTCTATTGGCCACAACAGGTGCAGACATTACAGTGAAATGCTTACTTACAGCCCTTAACCAACAGTACATTTATTTTTAACAAAAAAGTAAAAAATAAAACAACAACAAAAAAAGTGTTGAGAAAGAAAGAGCAGAAGTAAAATAAAATAACAGTAGGGAGGCTATATATACAGGGGGGTACCGGTGCAGAGTCAATGTGCGGGGGCACCGGCTAGTTGAGGTAGTTGAAGTAATATGTACATGTGGGTAGAGTTAAAGCTACTATGCATAAATAATGAACAGAGTAGCAGCAGCGTAAAAGGATGGGGTGGGGGGGCAGTGCAAATAGTCCGGGTAGCCATGATTAGCTACCGCAACATGACAAAGAACAGCCACACCTACAGCCACACCCATACTGCTGTACTCCTTTATGCAACACTACATACTCTTGTTGTTCAATGTATTTGCTTGCTGAAGCGAGCTGTGTCAGTAGCACAGAATATATATCTGCTGAACATTGCCTTTATATGGTAAGTATCAGCATATTTTTGTTTAAACGTTTCACACATTTCACGATCAATTCTCAATTGATCAGTGTGGGCTCATTTAAAGGAAATACATAATTTTGCAGTAATTTCAATTTCCTCATACAATAGGTTTTTGAAAGAAACGGATTAGAAATGCCTGAAATTGCTTAGGACTGCTTTCAGAGTAAGGAAACAAATCAGTCATTTTGATTTGCAACTTTATGTGATGTGAGTATAACAATATATATTTTTGTTTAATATAAGTAGCAGATGAATAAAATAATTTTTAATTAGGGTTAAGCTTGGGCTAAATCGAATCAGATTTTGATTCATATCTTATAATGTGATAATTAAATGCAAAAATTCCTACAAATGAGATAAGGAAAATGAGTAATGAAAGAGATTTGCAATATTGGGTGCATTCGTAAATTCAATCTAGAATGTCAGAGTGCGCTCAGAGTGCGCTCTGGGCATTTGTAAATTTAGAGCGTTGTCAGATTGTCTGTTTATAAATTCAGTGCATTTCGGTCTCGGAGCGTTGCAGTAGGGTTGATCCGAGCGTTCTGACCTCAAAACCGCAGTCAAGCACACAAGCTAACTGGCTAAAGTTGGTTATCTTGTTAGCTACTTATAGACACAAATAAGAGAATGCTGCACTCTGAACATTTTACTTGCCCTTGCAGAGCTGGTAGAGCTGCTAGGGTGTTTTCATGTTATCAAGAGGGATTGTGACTGTCACTGTGTTACTGGCAACAATTTAATTCAGTTTTATAGCCAATGTTTACTTACACCTGTCATAACAACCAAGTTTAGGGCGTTTGTAAATTCTTCAATTATTCTGAACTCAAACCAGTAGATTGCCAGTGTGAATTTATGAACGCACCATTTATGAAATGTGACTATAGACAAAGTGGCTGCTTGAATTAAGTTAACTTGAATTAGGGTTCAGATTGGGTAAAATTTGATTCAGATTTTGATTCATATCTTGTAAAGTGATAATTCAATGCTAAAGTTATTGCAAATGAGATATGGAAAATGTATGTTTTACAGACATTACAAAACTGTTCTACTATAGAAGCAACCTCCACTCTACTGGTGCATTGGTGAAACATACAATGTTTTTTTTATTTTTATGGCCAAATCAATTTTAAGTAACATCAAACCAAATATTGAGTTGATTTCAGTGGATTTCAGTGGATTTGGCGATTACATTTTTTAAATTGCACAGTTGCCCTTATCACTACCAATGATTATTAGCTAAATTACTGTTTTTTTCCAGGCCCATACTTTCAGGGTAAGGAACTATCCCTTTAACATTGAGGGGGGATTCGTAAAAAAATAAAAGCACCTACTATGCAGGAACATCACCATCTAGTGGTCAGAACCTGGTAAGATCAGGATGTAGGATAGGATGTAAACCTAGCAACTTCAATGACTAACTTCTCTGAACAGGAGGGACTGACCACTAGATTATTTGATAATAGTAAACCTACAGTTGATGTGCACCACCTGGCTCTCTAGCTGGAAGGTGTGGTGTCCTCAATGAACCACATCATGAGGAATCAATCTTGTCTGAATGATAAACTCTGTAATGTAATTGACCACTGTAATTGTTTTTATGTATTATATTGTATTGTATTGTGCTCTTGTGCTATGCGTACACGCTGACTACTTCCTGCTGACCTCTTGACAGGTCCCCCTCGCAAAAGAGGTTTCTAACCTCAAGGATCTTTTCCTGGTTAAATCAAATGTCAAATGTACAACTTAATGTAATTTTTCTGAAACCTGTGACACATCGCCTACTGTTGAATGCCTTAAAGTCTAAAGAGTATGAAAAAACATTGTCTGTACACATCCATATATTGATTGTTGTTTTAAGGGATCCACCAATCTTCTTTTATTGTTTACTTAAAGGGGACTTTCAGTATTTTTTCAAATACATTTTAGATGGTTACTCAACCTAAAACTAGTCTATGGGCCTGAGAAAAATTATAATTTAGCGAAGAAAATAAAATGCCCTGGAAGAGAAGGCGAATGGAGTGTAAATCCGGTTTGTCTAGAAGGGATACAGCTTTTGTCAAAAATTGACTTTTCGTAGCAGATTAGAAGGAGTAGGTTAAGGTTAGGAAAAGGGTTCGGGCAGGGCTGTCAAACTCATTCCATGGAGGGCCTAGTGTCTGCTGGTTTTTCTTTCAATTAAGACCTAGATAACCAGGTGAGGGGAGTTCCTCATTAATCAGTGACCTTAATTCATCAATCAAGTACAAGGGAGAAGTGAAAGACCACAAACACTCAGCCCTCCATGGAGTGAGTTTTATACGTGGTGCATCAGGAAAATTCTCTGCAACAAGAGTGATCAAGTTAAGATCCGACATCTGTAGTTCCCAAAATCTCTCTGTCTCTCTCTCTCATAACTTCAAAATACATTTTAACAGTATAAAACGAATAATCCTTAATGTGATGTCATGTCAAATAATCCTGTATGTTCAATAATATGAGAAGATAGGCTTGCTATTGTCGCATGTTTTATAATCTCTTAATTAAACATGTCCGTTCCTTGTACCCATGCATAGTATTTTCAATGTTCACATAAATAGTTTTTGGAATTAATTTAACCATTTGAAAACGGGTTAATTGAACGAAATTAGCACACCTAATGAGAATTAAGACAATACAATATGAAGAGGAGAAATAAAAGACAAACGAAAAGTGCATGTTCTGGAGAGGTAAAAATAAATAAAATACTAAAGGTCTTGAAAGGTGCCTCCTCTTTTAAATATTTATAGCTAAAAAATAGTAGAATCATGATTCTTTTTTAAGAAAAAAAAGGGGGGAAAACACTGATATACTTGCATTCAGATAAACAGTTTACTCATGTGAGAATAAATAGGTCTCTGTGTGGAAGGGTTGAAGTGAGCTGTGACCTAGGTGTGGTGCAGGATATACAGTAAGGCAGAGATGGTGAAACAAGGATCTTTACTTGTGGTCCCGAAGTCAAAATAACGGACTTATCACAATAACAAAAAGGCAGAGCAAATAAGTCTCCAGAAAACCGGCTGGCAGCCAAAATACGAAATACTACCTAAGACTGAAACAAATAATGAAACAGGGAGAACACTTTTCAAGTACCTGTACATAGATCGTCGATCAGACACTGATTAGTACTGCTGGACATAGAGAAACTAGCAGAGAAAACAGAGCAAGGGAACACAGGGAAGTGAGGCCATAAATACACAGGTGAACAGATAGACACAGGTGACACCAATAGGATGATGATTAGTCCTGACAGTGAGTGAGGAGGTGCCTAAGGTTGTCGGAGGATGACACCTAGTGCGTCGCTCCAGAAATGCGACCCCCTCCTGTAACTGCGACCCCCTCCTGTAACATCTGTGCGTTTTACTATTATTTGAAATTTGATGTGAAAAATTATTGCGAACATCCTACAATTGCAAAATGGTTGGGATTCACAAGAACATGAGCACTTGATTTTCTCTTGAAAATGAAGCTTAAATACTGAATGGCATTTGCTTTTGTTGTTTTAATGAATCATCATATTTGTCTTTATAGTTGCACTTGCACCTTTTGGAATAAAGTTAATGTGTTATCGCCTACCACAAATATGTAAATTGTACTATGTTTCTCTCCCTTTATAGTGAAGTATCATGGCATCATTTGATTTTGTCAGAGACAAATTAACTGAGTGGAACCACAGTGACTTTATTCAGAGGTTTGAAGGTGAAGATATTTGTGATGTATTATTATACATTGTATAATACATTCTGTAATAGTTAGTAAAGATATCACCTCAATTGTAAACATGTATGCTTATTTGTTAATTTGATACAGTCATTCTTATTGTCTGATATTAATATGCCTAAAATGTATATTTCCTGATTTTCAGATGAAGAAATTGATGAAGAAGGTTTCCTCTCCCTTGAGGAGACTGACCTCATCAACTTGATCCCAAAAACAGGACCAAGGTCTAGATTTAGAAAAAAATACAACACATTTCTGAAGGTACTTTACAAACTAGGTGTACAATAACTACTGTTACACAGAGTGACTGGGTATGGTCTATATCAGTACTGCATCAGTAGTGCAGAATAAACTGTTTGCATTTAGTTCTCAGCTGTGACATTGTCCACTGTACTGGCATATTTTTTACAGTTTACAAATGTCTTATCATAACAGGAGATTTAGTGTTACCCATGTAGGATCTTAATTTGAGTCAGTTTGCTACAGCATGAAAATAATCCTGCAGCAACAGGAAATGTGAATTATTAATGGACATTTTTGTAGAGTTTGATACATTTTTCGAAAGGGAAAATCAAGTGTGAAATTTCAAAGTGTAAACAATTATTTTTTTTAAGGAGCCTTTTTAAACCTCAAATACACTACAAGTTTTAAATGTCCTGCATTGCAGCAACACATACATTTACGTCATTTAGCAGACGCTCTTATCCAGAGCGACTTACAGTTAGTGCATACACATTTTGTATTTTATTTTTTAAATATTTATTTTCATACTGACCATGGGAATCGAACCCACAACCCTGGCGTTGCAAACACCATGTTCTACCAACTGAGCTACAGCTACACAATGTTAGCCTGTGTTCTAACTGCAGTCTGAAATGTTATTGTACCTTTCTTGTTCTTTGCTTTACAACTGAGAGTAGCATGACCACATTTAAAATACCCAAATGCGGGACAAAAGGATGATTTTGCGGGGCATTCGAGTGACAGTGTAGCCTACATGTAGCTGCACCGAATGAGCTAATTGAAGCGCGCCTATAGGCTACTCCTTTGCCTCGCGCAAAATTTGGTCATGCAGAAACGAGAGACCAAATGTGTGTATATTTTATGAAAATCTAGGAATACTTGGCCAAGGAAACATTTCTGGTTGGTCTCAGGGAATGTAAAACAGTTAGGAAGGGAGACTTTGAAAACCGATTGTGTGAAGTAGCAGCAAATATGTTAAATGAGCTTAATGAACATATAGAACCTTACAAGTTAGACAAAATCAACAATTATCTTTTCAGTTTACATACTTTTGTAGCTCTTCGTCAGAAGCATGCTTTTTTAACTCCAAGTTTTGGTGGAATTTAGACCAAAAGGATTAGACAAATGTGATTGGTTGAAGATATGACATTGGCCTTGCGCTGCGGAGAATATCAGATCCCAACAACTGTTGGAGAAGTGTTTAACATCACCAGAACCACATCCTTATGATAACTTGTCAAAATAGAAACGTGACTGCAAACAGAGATCTGTATATAATGACGAGATGCTCATGTTTCCACCCTAACAATGGGAGTCGTTGTCCCAAAGGCGGGAAGGCAGACAAAAAAGCTTAGGTCCAAAATAAGCCCATAGAAACGCATTGAGCTTATTTTGGACAGATTTTGATGAGTGAGACCTCTTGCTTTGCCTCTTCTTCTCTGCTGCAAAAGAGACATGTTGGAATGCCTGACTGAAATACTGAACAAATCGACCTTTGTTGTAAATGAGTTGTGTTAGAATTGTTTTTATAAAATGCGGGACATGATTTTTTGGTTGAGGAACGCGGGCCAAAAGGCCAAAATGCAGAACTGTCCCGAACAATCCGGGACATGTGGTCACCCTAACTGAGACATCTAATGTTTTCTAACTGCAGAAACTGCAGCAACCCAATGATGACAAGAACATTCAAGAGGCCACTTCTTTATCAGCCTCCAAGAGTTCCTCAGGAAATGTACGATCTTTGCCCTCCTCTATAACCATTTACATGAAACCTCAGCCCTAAAGTACAATTAATTAACTAAACCAAATGCATCGTTTTTAATTTAGATAAGCATACAGACCTTTATATTTGTCACCCCTATAACCCAACATGGTATCTGTCCCCAGGTTACTGGTGAGATGGTCAATCAAGAGCCTTGTCAAAAGGCCATCAAAACCCCCCTCAGAAATGAACCTTCTAAATGCCCAGAGACTAAAAGGTAAGGAACACATCATTCCTTTATTCATCACTGACTACATATAATGTCCCGTTGGCGTGGACAAAATGACAATTGTTGTGACTCTTTCGCCAGGTCAATGGATAAACCCTTTGGTAAACCTGGAGGAAGTGTGCCCGTAACCGACACCTCTGGAGTGGGAGAAACAGTGTATGACCAGGTGGGTAAAAACTAGAGCTCATTTATCTGTGGTCACAACTAAGGCAGGGGTCAGTGGTGATCCCAAGGCATCACTTCTTGGAATGTTTCATGCCATTTAACAGAGATGTACTATCATACATTAAGATATCAGTGCACTCCAGAGGGACTAAGTTAATAGCAATCAAATGCAATTATTAAGCGCTTTATATTTCAGTCACTCTTATGCAGAACAATTTACAGGAGGAGCAAATAGGGTTAAGGTTCTCGCTCAAGGGCAAGTGCTTTTTCACCTAGTCGGCTTGGGGATTCAAACCAGCAACCTTTCAGTTACTCACCCAATGCTCTTAACCGCTAGGCTACCTGCCACTTTCTCATAGTCGCAACGCTATACAACATAGCCAACATCTAATCTAATCTACAAACAACATCAGTCAAAGGTAATCAGTGAAAACAACATACAGGAAGAGACCAAAATTATTAAAGAAAATGCATCTCAAACTAAAGCAATTGTGCTTTTGTGGAATGATTCCTTTGTTAACCTGTTGATTATCTATGTGTTTCTTCAGAGTGAACCCTCAACCAGTAAGATACCCCCTCTTCAAGTGAATATCCCAGGTAAAAAGCACAGATGTTTCAGATTTACACGTTCAGAAAAACAATGCAAAAATACTAGTTTTAGAAGATGACAACGAGAAACTTGTAAAGTGATACTATATTTATTTATTTTCAAAAAAATGTAATACAAATTACTCAGTTAATCATAAGTCATACTATTGAATAATGAGAGACACTTGCAAGTACCCTTTGTTCCATGTACCATATGCATAGAGTAAGTAGACAATTTGAAATAGTCCTCTGTAGCTCAATTGGTAGAGCTTGGCGCTTGTAACACCAGGGTAGTGGGTTCGATCCCCGGGACCACCCATACGTAAAAATGTATGCACGCATGACTGTAAGTCGCTTTGGATAAAAGCGTCTGCTAAATGGCATAATATATTAGATTTTTTTCACCGACTGATACAACTCATTTCCATAACATCATTGGCTATAATGAGATTGGAAGATCTGTGACTGCTGTTGGATGATATGTGTATTAATTAATAAAATACTTTCCAATTGTTTCCAGGCAAAAGGAAATCTGATGAGACCCATGCTAACAAACAAACAAAGAAACGACAACGTGGTGCTGCTTCCAGAATAACTGAAACATTTGGTATGTGGATGGTGTTTATATGGACCACAATCATTTTAACCCTTTACACTTGTGGTAATTTACCTATATGGATAGGGCTTAATTGAAATGTTCTTACATACGCATAACCATGGTAGCAGTTAAAAGGGAAGAGTTAGGAGATTATGGGAAAATTATTAGACTAAAGGTGATGACACAACAGTACACCTGACACATAATAATAATAATATGCCATTTAGCAGACGCTTTTATCCAAAGCGACTTACAGTCATGACTGAATTCAAACATTATACTGATTGATTGTATGTGCATTTTACGTTTGCTGTACTATTTGCCGCATTTGTTGATAACGAAATCAAAACAATTATCTGGATACATTTATTAACGTGATAAGAATAATCTTGGAATATTTGGGGTAGGTGCAACATAAGACAAAACATTCTAAGGCTTTGAGTGGCCACACGCCTCTCCAAAATGTGCTCAGTTCCTAAGTAATTTCAATGTACTTTTATGACTGAAAGAATAGTCTTCAACGATAAGGTGCTTTTTTGAGCTCTACTAGCTGTGCCGTTGAGGAACTAGCGCAAGCACACTAGCAGTTTTTTCTGTGGAAAACAGCCCTTCATCCCATGATCACACAATTACTGATGTTTACGCGATCCAAAAACGGTCCATTATAAATCGCAATCTGGGTCAGGTCGGCATCATTTGAAAGCTTGTTCTATTGCCAACATGACTAGCTAAATAATATATAAAATATGATATCACAATGTTAGGCTTTCACAAGGCCATTCAGAGTAGACATGGTTATTTGAGTGGAGTACTCCTTTAACTCAACACATGCTGTAAGTTCTTCTAACATCCGCATACAGCAAAAGGTTATGTCAGTTTATGATATAGCAGATCTGAATGCCACTCTTCATTCCTAATTTTTTCCCTGTAATATATTTTCCACCTTTATAAACACGTTGTGTTTAACTCTGGCAGAAATTGAAACCAAGACAGAGGTGAAGAAGATCATGCAACGTGTCAAAAGCAAACTTGATGATCTGCCTTCTACAAAACTCATTGACTTCCTCAGGTATGCATTTTTAAATGTGGAGAGAAAACACATGGAGAGAGACGCGTACAGGCCACTAAATTGCTTTAATTCTTTTCTTCTTTAATTTCTAACAGAGGTAAAATCCAAACGTTGGAGAAAGAAAAAAAAGAGATAGTGGGTGTTTTTGGGAAGACTGGAGCTGGTAAGAGCTTCTTGATTAACACCATCTTGGGTGAAACGAAATTGCTGCCCTTTGGAAACCAAGGGGCGTGCACCTCGGTCATGATTCAGGTGGAGGCCAATATGACAGACTCGGACTCAAAATACATCGCAGAGATTGAGTTCATGACAGAGGAGGTAACAGCATCTGTTTCATCTGTTTATATCCTAATCTCACAATGTTTTGGAAGTGGTGTCATGATGAACAGTACAATTAATGAAAGGCTTCTTTGAAACATATCAAGGTTACTAAGTCTAAGATCTGAATCAAGGTTTGTCATTGACCCAATATACACCTTGCTTTAAAAGAAGAAGCAACAATATAAGAAACAACAATACAATGTATCTCACTATAAAAACTGGTCCTCTTAAATCTTTATTCCAGGTTGCACATAAAAATATTTAAGGGATAGTTTGCTATGCCCATACAGTCATGCCAAGCATAAGGATGTCTTAAATGGGAGGGAAAAGTGAGATCCAAACACAGTTGTAATTGCTATTAAAACCAGGTGTAATTACAAGTAAATGTGAGGCCAATGTTTGGAATGTAATCCTATCACAGCTGTTCGGATAGGGATAATGCAAGTCAGAGTGTACAGTTTCTTATACAGTATGTGTTTTGGAAACTCAATTAGGAGTATGTTCCAGGTGTTATGGTATAGATAGGTAGATTAGTGGTAGGTCACAGATAGACACTACACTTTCACTTCCACACCTCATCCCTAGGGGCAGTAGCAACCGGGTCCAGGTGCTGTGCCAGGCTTGTTGATTATCATAATACAAAAATCCCCATCAAAACCCATCTGTTTAAGCTAGAGATGCTTGGGCTGCGTCTCAATCCACTGCGTCCGCCAATGTCGGCCTTCCGCATCTTCGGTGGAAGGTGGCAGAGCTACAACAGTATTGGTCGGACCAGAAGAGATCCCAAAAATTGGTATTCTCGTGAAAACGTCTGTAGCGTCCGAACGGTTTGGGCTAAAAACTCGATGGTGTTCTCCGTTTTGCTCTTCTACCCCCACAAGCTTCACATGACTCATCTGAAGTCGGTACCGCTGATGTGCCAGCTAATGTTTGTAGAGTGCGAACGGTTTGGGCTACAAACTAATATGACTCCACCATCGACAGCTGAGACTCTCATGAACACAATACAACGGCGCCCACAAGCTTTACAAGACTTGTCTGAAGTTAACCGGTGAAAAAAATGAATGGAAGTATCAAAGTAGTTTTGTGCTGAATCATGTTTTTATATGTTTTTTTTTTATACCTACAGGAGTAAAAAAAAAAAAAAAAAAAAAAAAGCTAAATTATCCATGGTATGACCATTTTAAGACAATTCCATATGGCCTAGGACCCCTAGACATTACATTGCTAGTGTAGCGTTAAAGTAGGCTGGCTAGGTGGTTTCGTAACACTTAGCTGGCAAATAGAGATACATTATGTATTACACATTTGTTACGGTTTGACATTTTTATTAGGAATGGAAAGAGGAGCTGTGGTCCATCTTCAGAGACAGATCTTATGAGGATGGAAATGATGAAGACCAGGAAAGGGATGACGACGACGATGATGATGATAAGATATCATCTTTGTATGGAAAGGATGGACGTGGGGCAACCTTAGAAGAACTAATGGACAGGAAGCACTTCAGAGAAATTCCAGAGTTCCGTTTATCAGTCAAGAAAAGATTTCTATGTGACACAGTAAGTTACTGTCATGCTAGTTCACTTCTGTGACGATTGTGTAATTTTGTGAAAAAATCATTTGGTTAAAAAATCATTTTAGGTCGGCAACCAGGTCTGATTGCAAATGACTACATCTGTTAGGTTCTGATATTTGTCAAAGTGTTATTTTTATATATTTTTTTTATCAATGCATGTAATGATGCTTTATTACATTACAGGCTGAAGAACTCTCTGAAAAGATAACTTGTTACACACGGAGTGACACACAGAGTGATACATTTAAAAGGCAGTATTGGCCGCTTGTGAAGTGTATAACCATCAAGGTGCCAAACTCCAAAGACCTGCTGGAGCATGTTGTGCTGGTTGATCTTCCAGGCAATGGAGACTGCAACAAGAGCAGAGATGAGATGTGGAAATCGGTAATTATTTATAATTCTTATTGATGATCCCATGTTCTGTTTAGAATTGTATTCATGCAACTTCTAATTTGGTTGGTGTTAGATCAACATCCTAGGTATCAATATCACAGGTACAGGGCCAAATGGCTGGCTACAGTGAGGGAAAAAAGTATTTGATCCCCTGCTGATTTTGTACGTTTGCCCACTGACAAAGAAATGATCAGTCTATAATTTTAATGGTAGGTTTATTTGAACAGTGAGAGACAGAATAACAACAACAAAAATCCTGAAAAACGCATGTCAAAAATGTTATAAATTCATTTGCATTTTAATGAGGGAAATAAGTATTTGACCCCCTCTCAATCAGAAAGATTTCTGGCTCCCAGGTGTCTTTTATACAGGTAAGGAGCTGAGATTAGGAGCACACTCTTAAAGGGAGTGCTCCTAATCTCAGTTTGTTACCTGTATAAAATACACCTGTCCACAGAAGCAATCAATCAATCAGATTCCAAACTCTCCATCATGGCCAAGACCAAAGAGCTCTCCAAGGATGTCAGGGACAAGATTGTAGACCTACAGAAGGCTGGAATGGGCTACAAGACCATCGCCAAGCAGCTTGGTGAGAAGGTGACAACAGTTGGTGCGATTATTCGCAAATGGAAGAAACACAAAATACCTGTCAATCTCCCTCAGCCTGGGGCTCCATGCAAGATCTCACCTCATGGAGTTGCAATGATCATGAGAACGGTGAGGAATCAGCCCAGAACTACACGGGAGGATCTTGTCAATGATCTCAAGGCAGCTGGGACCATAGTCACCAAGAAAACAATTGGTAACACACTACGCCGTGAAGGACTGAAATCCTGTAGTGGCCGCAAGGTCCCCCTGTCTCAAGAAAGCACATATACAGGCCGGTCTGAAGTTTGCCAATGAACATCTGAATGATTCAGAGGAGAACTGGGTGAAAGCGTTGTGGTCAGATGAGACCAAAATCGAGCTCTTTGGCATCAACTCAACTCGCCGTGTTTGGAGGAGGAGGAATGCTGCCTATGACCCCAAGAACACCATCCCCACCGTCAAACATGGAGGTGGAAACATTATGCTTTGGGGGTGTTTTTCTGCTAAGGGGACAGGAGAACTTCACCGCATCAATGGGACGATGGACGGGGCCATGTACCGTCAAATCTTGGGTGAGAACCTTCTTCCCTCAGCCAGGGCATTGAAAATGGGTCATGGATGGGTATTCCAGCATGACAATGACCCAAAACACACAGCCAAGGCAGCAAAGGAGTGGCTCAATAAGAAGCACATTAAGGTCCTGGAGTGGCCTAGCCAGTCTCCAGACCTTAATCCCATAGAAAATCTGTGGAGGAAGCTGAAGGTTCGAGTTGCCAAACGTCAGCCTCGAAACCTTAATGACTTGGAGAAGATCTGCAAAGAGGAGTGGGACAAAATCCCTCCTGAGATGTGTGCAAACCTGGTGGCCAACTACAAGAAACATCTGACCTCTGTGATTGCCATCAAGGGTTTTGCCACCAAGTACTAAGTCATGTTTTGCAGAGGGGTCAAATACCTATTTCTCATTAAAATGCAAATCAATTTCTAACACTTTTGACCTGCGTTTTTCTGGATTTTGTTGTTGTTATTCTGTCTCTCACTGTTCAAATAAACCTACCATTAAAATTATAGACTGATAATTTCTTTGTCAGTGGGCAAACGTACAAAATCAGCAGGGGATCAAATACTTTTTTCCCTCACTGTATATCTATGTATTTTAGTTTCTTTATATTTATCTACAATTGATTTATCTAGAATTGATTAATATATACATGTTATGTAGGCTTATGAAAGCTATATATGTTATGAATAATATATTGTGTATATTACACCTTTACTGTTGGACCGTTCTAAGTTAATGTTACACTTCTACAGTTTGTTGGAAACTGCTCTGCTGTGTGGATTATAAGTGGCATTGCACGAGCATCTTCAGAAAAGGAATCATGGGAGATTTTAGACAGCACCGTTAGCCTCTTTGGACCTGGTGGAGAATGTCGAAGCATCAGTTTCATCTGCACCAAGACAGACGAGGACATTCAAAACGATGATGCACGTACCTGTATTTTGCGCAGAAATAAAACAACCAAGAAGCAAGTGAGGGAAAAGTTCAGCAAACAAAGATTAATTAAGGTAAATTACATCTGACATAAAGGAGAATTCTGTGGTTTGACAACATGCACATATGTTGTAATGGTTAAGATATAGGAATTTCATGGAATTCCATGAGAGCAAGATTAGTAAAGCTATTCATTAGACATATTTTATGTCTAATAAGACAACAAAACAATAGATTGAAACAATAGCTGTCCCCATAGGAGAACCCTATTTGGTCCGAAGTAAAACCATTTTTGGTTCGAAGTGGAACCATGTAGAACCCTTTGTGGAAAGGGTTCTACATGGAACCCAAAAGGGTTCTACTTGGAACCAAAAGGGTTCTACCTGGAACCAACAAGGGTTCTTCAAAAGGTTATCCTATGGGGACAGCCAAACAACCCTTTTAGGTTCAAGATAACACCTTTTTCTACGTGTGTAGGTACTTCTTTTTATTTATAATAAGGTAAGACAATTGTTCTAATCTGGTATTTATCAGTCATATTCTTCTAAATCCAGCTTTGTATTTGATTAATTTAATTTAGTTGAAGCACAACTCCTTGTATGAGCATAATGAATATACATTTTTTGACCTTGCAAGATGTCAGTGTGTGGACATTATTGAATTGGCTGTCATTGTCTCATAAACACCTTTCAGAAACACTTCAGTGGGGGAAAGGATTTCCTTCAGGTGTTTACTGTGAGTTCCATGGAATACCAAAAGGAAAAGCATTTGCAACAAGAAGAGACAGGTACGATAACTGAACGTGTTTTTTGATTCTACGACATAGAGACGGATTATATCTAATTGTTTCCTGTTATCATATACTTATGCTTTCTTTGAGATACTTTGTGTGTATTGTATTATGTTGTAAACTGCTTTACATAGCAACACACTTCACCTAAGCAGCACACCTATTTGAATATGACCTGTAGTATCTGTGAAATTGAAACATGCAAAATGTCCTAGTCAAGAACAACTCCAAGTGTACCCTGGACCATATGATAGTCAATAATGCATGTTCTTTTTTTCTCCAAACTATTTTGGGTAGTGTGTATACCTACAGCATGCTAAGCTATCCTCATGTCCTCTGAAATATTTCACTCTATTGTAAGCAGACTTATCTTCTAGGCGAAGAACATCTTTCTCTTTTGACCACTACTACAGTGGGGGAAAAAAGTATTTAGTCAGCCACCAATTGTGCAAGTTCTCCCACTTAAAAAGATGAGAGAGGCCTGTAATTTTCATCATAGGTACACGTCAACTATGACAGACAAAATGAGGAAAAAAAATCCAGAAAATCACATTGTAGGATTTTTAATGAATTTAGTTGCAAATTATGGTGGAAAATAAGTATTTGGTCAATAACAAAAGTTTCTCAATACTTTGTTATATACCCTTTGTTGGCAATGACACAGGTCAAATGTTTTCTGTAAGTGTTCACAAGGTTTTCACACACTGTTGGTGGTATTTTGGCCCATTCCTCCATTCAGATCTCCTCTAGAGCAGTGATGTTTTGGGGCTGTCGCTGGGCAACACAGACTTTCAACTCCCTCCAAAGATTTTCTATGGGGTTGAGATCTGGAGACTGGCTAGGCCACTCCAGGACCTTGAAATGCTTCTTACGAAGCCACTCCTTTGTTGCCCGGGTGGTGTGTTTGGGATCATTGTCATGCTGAAAGACCCAGCCACGTTTCATCTTCAATGCCCTTGCTGATGGAAGGAGGTTTTCACTCAAAATCTCACGATACATGGCCCCATTCATTCTTTCCTTTACACGGATCAGTCGTCCTGGTCCCTTTGCAGAAAAACAGCCCCAAAGCATGATGTTTCCACCCCCATGCTTCACAGTAGGTATGGTGTTCTTTGGATGCAACTCAGCATTCTTTGTCCTCCAAACACGACGAGTTGAGTTTTTACCAAAAAGTTCTATTTTGGTTTCATCTGACCATATGACATTCTCCCAATCCTCTTCTGGATCATCCAAATGCACTCTAGCAAACTTCAGACGGGCCTGGACATGTACTGGCTTAAGCAGGGGGACACGTCTGGCACTGCAGGATTTGAGTCCCTGGCGGCGTAGTGTGTTACTGATGGTAGGCTTTGTTACTTTGGTCCCAGCTCTCTGCAGGTCATTCACTAGGTCCCCCCGTGTGGTTCTGGGATTTTTGCTCACCGTTCTTGTGATCATTTTGACCCCACGGGGTGAGATCTTGCTTGGAGTCCCAGATCGAGGGAGATTATCAGTGGTCTTGTATGTCTTCCATTTCCTAATAATTGCTCCCACAGTTGATTTCTTCAAACCAAGCTGCTTACCTATTGCAGATTCAGTCTTCCCAGCCTGGTGCAGGTCTACAATTGTGTTTCTGGTGTCCTTTGACAGCTCTTTGGTCTTGGCTATAGTGGAGTTTGGAGTGTGACTGTTTGAGGTTGTGGACAGGTGTCTTTTATACTGATAACAATTTCAAACAGGTGCCATTAATACAGGTAACGAGTGGAGGACAGAGGAGCCTCTTAAAGAAGAAGTTAAAGGTCTGTGAGAGCCAGAAATCTTGCTTGTTTGTAGGTGACCAAATACTTATTTTCCACCATAATTTGCAAATAAATTCATAAAAAATCCTACAATGTGATTTTCTGGATTTTTTTCTTCTCAATTTGTCTGTCATAGTTGACGTGTACCTATGATGAAAATTACAGGCCTCTCTCATCTTTTTAAGTGGGAGAACTTGCACAATTGGTGGCTGACTAAATCCTTTTTTCCCCACTGTAAGTGCTGAATCCTGACTTGAGATCTGTATGCATAACTAGGATTATGCCCATAATCAAAAACTGAAACAGAAATAGGAAAATTTTGTGATAAAAACTTGAATCCAGGATCAATAATAGCTTCAAAATAACACTGACACCAACCAAAGGAAGAAATACATCCATTTTTTTACTGATGTTGCAGAAATACCCAAACTTCAGGAATTTCTCAGAAATCTCAATGATCATCATAAAAAGACTTCAGATTATGTTTCTGGAGCCTATGGGATCCTCTCATTGATACAAGGAGCCAAAAGCAGTGACATGGTATTGTACTTCCAGCAGAACAAACTTTTTTCTCATAATTAACACACTCCTTGCATGTGAATATATTTGTTACAGTGCTTTGAAAAAGTATTTGCCCCCTTTCTGATTTTCTCTGTTTTTGCATATTTTTTATACTGAATATTATCAGATCTAGAACCAAAACCTGATATTAGATAAAGGGAACCTGAGTTTGCAAATAACAAAAAAATTTGATACTTATTTTATTTATTGAATTAACCAAGTTATGCAACACCCAATTCCTGTGTGAAAAAGTAATTATCTCCTTACACTCAATAACTGGTTGTGTCACTTTTAGCTGCAATGACTGCAACCAAATGCTTCCTGTAGTTGTTCATCAGTCTCTCACATTGCTGTGGAGGAATTGTGGCCCATTCTTGCATACAGAACTGCTTTAACTCAGCGACTTTTGTGTGTTTTCAAGCATGAACTGCTTGTTTCAAGTCCTGCCACAACATCTCAATTGGAATTAGGTCTGGACTTTGTCTAGGCCATTCCAAAACTTAAAATGTGTTGCTTTTGCACCATTTTCATATAGACTTGATTGTGTGTTTTGGATCATGGTCTTGCTGCATGACCCAGCTGCATATCAGCTTCAGCTCACAGACGAATGGCCTGACTTTATCCTGTAGAATTATCTAATTCAGAGCAGAATTCATGGTTCCTTCTATTAAGGCAAGTTGTCCAGGTCCTGAGGCAGTAAAGCATCCCAAAACCATCACACTACCACCACCATCCTTGACCGTTATGAGGTTCTTACTGGGACCAATCTCGTCCAAAAAGTTAACTAAAGTTTGCCAAAAAGCACCTGGAAGCACCTGGATGATCATCAAGACTCTTTTTGGACAACATGGGTCCCATTACGTCTGGCAAAAACCGAAACCTGCATTCCACAATAAGAATCATTTACCAACGGTCAAGCATTGTGGTGGTAGTGTGATGGTTTGTGGATAGCTTGCTGCCTCAGGACCTGGACGACTTGCCTTAATAGAAGGAACCATGAATTCTGCTCTGTATCAGAGAATGTCAGGCCATCCGTCTGTGAGTAAAGAACATTTGAAATGGGGCAAATACTTTTTCACAGCACTGTATATTGATTATGTTGAGTTTGGATTTCAGACAGACAGCAAAGAAGAGGTGTGCCAGGTTCTGGAACAGAGGCTCAAGGAGGAGATCAAGTTCATTGGTCAAACTATGGATGACGCTTATAAGGATTTTGAACAATGCCTCTCAGAAGGAGTTAAACAGTCAGAAGAATCATGCGAGAAATTAATGAATAAAGTGATAGCACCAGTAAGCTACTTAAAAAAAACTTTAATAGCCGCTTTTCCACTGTCACCCTATATACGTGCTAGCCAGTTTGTGCTAGCGCCAGAGAAGCTGAAAATCAAGAGACTTAACCAGGATTCCAAAATCGAATTGATTACTTCTTGTAACTCACATTAGCTTGAGATAGATTCAGACTGAAGTAAATGGGAGAGTAATCTCTCGTGTATAGACGCACGTAACATAACTGGTGTTGGCAGCGTTTGTCAACAGACTGTGGTGTACGATGACTAACGAGGAACGTTGTTCTGGTGAGCAGATATTTAATCACTGATCATTTGGACAAATCACAATTTTGCGGGTGTTCGCATCGTTCTAATTTTGGAAGGGGGGGGGGGGACATTTGGCCCATAGACTTGCCTGTAATTTACAAAGAAAGGGGGGTGGAGCTACCACTCTGGTTCCTCTTCTCATTCTAGTATATTTTGGATCAAGTCTGCTCCCAGAATTAAAACAAACATCGGACGCAATTATGCAAGGTTTCAGTTATGGGTGGGAGCAGACTATACTAACCAACAGTCCTGGCAACCTCTCATTACGCATACCTGGTAACCCTCATTACGCACACCTGCCCCCCATCATGAGGCACACCTGGACTTCATCACTACCCTGATTACTTCCCCTTTATCTAGCACTTCGTTGTTATCACCCACCAGGCAATATTGTTTATGTTTCCATGTTAGACGCTGCACTTGTTTTGTATCGTTCCATGGTCTTCGTCATTAAACTCACTAACTGTACTTGCTTCCTGACTCTCTGTGTCTACGTTACAGCGAGAGAGAGACTGAGAGTGGTACGTTATTATATACATTAAATTATTGTGTGTTGAGTCTCTCTATTTTCAAATTTCTCTGGCGGTAGCATGCATTGTCACCCACAGATATAGGCTTGCACAATAGTGGAAAAGCAGCTATTGATAAATACTTATGCTTGACAGATTTCCAATGATGTGCTGTTAAAAACGTTGAATATATTTCAATTTTTTATTCCCAGAGAGGGAAAAAAGGCAGTGGATATCATAAAGTAGTGAAGACCTTATGCAAGAATGGCGGCGTTTATAAACCAAAAGGGAAAAAGGAAATAAACCTTAATGAGAGTTTAGCCTCATGTATGAGAAGTCTCATTGATGAAGAGTTTAAGAGATATTTCCCGTAAGTCATTCAATCATTATCAGTAAAAACAAAAACAAAAAACAAATTAACACTGAGATTCAATCAAATCTGGTAACCATACTTCTGATTTGGATATACTGTGTTTCAGAAACGAGGGCAAACGTGGCCCAATCAGGGAGCGGATTGATGATTTCACCCTTGACACAAACAGCTTGGTTGGGAAGCACCTGGAACTGTTACTGCATCTGACATTCCTAAAGACAGAGGTAGGATTTTCAACAAAAAAACTGGAAATGCAACATTGACAAATCCCCCCCCCCACACCCCACACCCACATACTGTACTGTGCCTTCAGAGAGTATTCACACCCCTTGACTTTTTCCACATTTTGTTGTGTTACTAAGTGGGATTAAAACTGATTTTTATTGTCATTTTTGGTCAACGATCTACACAAAATACTGGAAAAATTCCAACATTTTACAAAAATATATAAACACTAATATATCTTGATTAGATAAGTATTCAACCCCCTGAGTCAATACATGTTAGAATCACCTTTGTCAGCGATTACAGCTGTCAGTATTTTTGGGTAAATCTCTAAGAGCTTTGCACACCTGGATTGTACAATATTTGCTCTCTATTTTTAACGGGGGGTGCTGAAAAAATTGTTTTGCCAGTGCTACAGATGCTATATGGGTCTGTTAATACAGCACTATTAAAAGGACCAGTGCGCTACTTTTGTAAAAACAGAAATTGCGAAAGTATCCCCCCCCCCCTTGGCATTTTTCCAATTTTTATGCCTTAAAACCTGGATTTTTTTTAGGGGTTTGTATAATTTGATTGAAAATTTGAACGTGCATAACTATTCACCAACCAACAGAGGAACCTTTTGCAGCAATTACAGCTGCAAGTCTCTTGGGGTATTTCTCTATAAGCTTGGCACATCTAGCCACTGGAATTTTTGCCCAATCTTCAAGACATAACTGCTCCAGCTCCTTCAAATTGGGTGGGTTCCGCTGGTGTACAGCAATCTTTAAGTCATACTACAGATTCTCAATTGGATTGAGGTCTGGGCTTTGACTAGGCCATTCCAAGACATTTAAATGTTTCCCCTTAAACCACTCAAGTGTTGCTTTAGCAGAATGCTTAGGGTCAATGTCCTGCTGGAAGGTGAACCTCCGTCCCAGTTTCAAATCTCTGTAAGACTGAAACAGGTTTCCTTCAAGAATGTCCCTGTATTTAGCGCCATCCATCATTCCTTAAATTCTGACCAGTTTCCCAGTCCCTGCCGATGAAAAACATCCCCACAGCATGATGCAGCCACCACCATGTTTGAAAATATGAAGAGTGGTACTCATTTTTACATTTTAGTAGACACTCTTATCAAGAGCGACTTACAGTTAGTGAGTGCATATATATATTTTTTTATACTGGCCCCCCGTGGGAATCGAACCCACAAGCAAATGCCATGCTCTACCAACTGAGCTACATCCCTGCCGGCCATTCCCTCCCCTACCCTGGGCCAATTGTGCGCCGTCCCATGGGTCTCCTGGTCGCGGCCGGCTACGACAGAGCCTGGATTCAAACCAGGATCTCTAGTGGCACAGCTAGCACTGCGATGCAGTGCCTTAGACCACTGCGCCACTCGGGAACTAAGTGATGTGTTGCGTTGGATTTGCCTCAAACATAACGCTTTTATTCAGGATAACATTTTCATTTCTTTGCCACATTTCTTTGCAGTATAATGTTAGTGCCTTGTTGCAAACAGGATGCATGTTTTGGATAATTTTTTATTCTGTCCAGGCTTCCTTTTTTTCACTCTTTCATTTAGGTTAGTATTGTGGAGTAACTACAATGTGGTTGATCCATCCTTAGTTTTCTCATATCAGAACCATTAACAACCACTAAATGTTTTAAAATCACCATTGGCCTCATTGTGAAATCCACAAGCAGTTTTCTTCCTCTCCGGCAACTGAGTTAGGAAGGACACCTTTATCTTTGTAGTGACTGGGGGTATTGATACACCATCCACGTTGTAATTAATAACCTCACAATACTCACATGTTTTTAGTTTTTTTTACACATGTACCAATAGAATCTTCCTTGCAAGGCATTGAAAATACTCCCTGGTCTTTGTGGTTCAATCTGTTTGATTGAAGGACCTTACAGATAATTGTATATGTGGGGTACAGAGATGAGGTAGTCATTCAAATATCATGTTAACCACTATTATTATTTTATTGAATGAGTCCATGCAACCTATGTGATTTTTACTCCTGAACTTATGTAGGCTTTCCATAACAAAGTTTTTGAATACTTATTGACTCAAGACATTTCAGCTTTTCATTTTTTACTAAAGATGCAATATTCAGAAATCCCTTCGCTATTTCCTGGTTGTAAAAATTCTAATAGTTCGCCTAACTCCAGTTTATGTGACAAAACAATCAGTAATTAAACCGCAAGGCACTGCATCTCAGTGCTTGAGGCGTCACTACAGACCCCCTGGTTCGATTCCAGGCTGTATCACAACCGGCCGTGATTGGGAGTCCCATAGTGCGGCGCACAATTGGCCCAGCAACGTCCGGGTTCGGCCGGTGTAGGCCGTCATTGTAAATAAGAATTTGTCCTTAACTGACTTGCTCAGTGACACAAAATCTCATCTTAATAATTTTTAAATCAGTCTGTAACACAAAATAATGTGGAAAAGGTAAAGGGGTGTGAATACTTTCTGAAGACAATACAAAAACACTTTTTTTAAGGCAAAAAGTTAGCTTTTGGAGAAAGTAGCCATATAAACAAATCCATAGACTGTAAACCACTTGTAATTTAGGTGAACTATCCCTTCAACTTAAATGAGTGTCTTTTTTAACATGTTTTTCTATCTGAAAGGAAACTGTGTTGAAGGCAAAACTAATCTGTGACATCCGTGAGAAAAAGAAGAAAATCTACTCCACTCTAACCGAGTCAGTAAAGGACACCATGCATCGATGCTACATAAGTAAGCCTTGAAATTGACCTTGTTGGGGGTATATATATATTTTTAAGTTTAATTTAATTTAAAAAATACATTTGATAAAGGAATGAATTTGGCACTTACTACTACTATAGCCCATAGAAACACATTCATAAGCCCATGCAAAAAAACGGATATCTCTAGCTTAAACTAACAGATTTTGATGAGGATTTTTTTATTATGTTACATAGATTGATGCACCGGTGCAATACAGTATTGTGGCCTAGTCATGGAAATTATAATGATATTTGGGAAGTAACAAGTTTTCTAAAATATTTAAAATATATGAATAGCAGATGAAGTCATACAATGCTTATGGAAACAATATGATGACTGTGTTTTAGGGGCATCAGAGCATACAGGAAAAGATGCTCTGAAAAGGATGAAAGATGAGCTACATCGTCACATGAAGAATAACAACATTTTCCAGAAGGCCAAGGAAGATATGCTGGGTTGTTTAATCAACCTGAAGGTTTGGCACATTCGGGGCCGGATAGCATATGATAGCAAAATGTGTAGAATTTTTGGAAATTTGCTTTAAAACTGCAAAGTGTTCTCTCAGATTCATGGCAAAATGTGTACAATAGCAGGAAATTTCCTTTAGAACTGCAACATTGTCTCTCAGATTCATGGCAAAATGTGTACAATAGCAGGAAATTTGCTTTAAAACTGTTAGAAAAAAAATCTAATCGTCATGGCAAAATGTGGACGAGCATGAGCTAAGCTATAAAACAACACATTTTTTCCTCTGTCCCATGGCAAAAAGTGTAGAATTGCAGGTAATTGGCTTTAAAACTGCTAAATTTTCTCTTAGCCTCATGACAAAATGTAAAATAGCATTATAAAACTACACATTTTTCTCTCTGCAACATGGCAAAATGTGTTGAAATGCAGTAAGTTAGCTGACATTGTACAGTATTGTTAGAAACATGTATTAAAGTGTCACTCCACGATGATACAATGATACAAAATACAGATTTTTTTATCACATTGTGGACCCCTCAAATTGAGTTGAGACACTAAAAACAATCATAGTCAAACATGGTACAGACATCCTCTATAATGAATTACACCATCTATACACATGTATGTATAAAAAAAAAAGGTAAATAAAAGGACAATTAGGCACTTAAAAATAAACGTATTCGTTGGATGATAGGATGTCAGACTTTGGGTCAGGCATTTACATTATTGTTACCTGATAAAATTTCACATCATTTATTATTTTCATTAAGGCTGTTAAAATGTTCATTTTGGTTGGACAGTTGACAAAAAAGATTATCCCTAATTTAGTTTAATAACCCACAGTAAACCAAGGCATGACGTTAGGTTTCAATGGAACCATTGTTGCCAAAAGTACACATACACGTTTATCTAGGGGAGTATTTTGTATCGACCAGTCTCAATAGAGAGAGGGGCCACTCCACATCTACATTTTTCAAAGGAGCTTCGATATTGCTTGGATAAAACAGTACGTACATAGGGTTCTGTCCCAAAAGTGCATTTAAAAAGCAGGTTATGGGTGCATTTTCTGATGGGTTAAGTTTAGTACTCCTCTTGGGATCTACATGTTTCCACATGTCACCATAGCAGTTATGATCGCACTTGCTGAATTCAAATATTTGCGGCCAAAATGCACTCAAGAAGTAGCTAGTTTATGAACACCTGGTGCACAGCATTTAGACTTGGTTGTGGTAAAGTACAATCATCCCTTAGTATGAGAGTGGACTAAATAATATTTTCTGTCCTACATTAGGAACACATCGTGATGCAGCTGAAGTGCAAACTACAAGAATCAATGGATCTCTCACTCAAGACCCCCAACAGCTCGTTCCTCCCAGGTAAATGAAACAGACCAAATGCTTTACCTATTCCAATATAGTTAAAGTCAAGTACTCATCAGAATAAGTCTGGAAACCATGTCCACTTTATCTTGAGCTGCATTTAGCTTGTGTCATAAGTACATGTGTGAACCCTACTTACATTTCAGAACCACAATATTTGAAAGAAGATGCATAATTTGTTTTTCAGCAAAACTTTAGCCATGCCACTTGTTTTGGTGTACAGTTGAAGGATGGGGCTGGGGAAATGTAACCCATATCACATTTGTAGAGAGCATTCTTAATGCAAGGACTGACAATCCATGACATCCATTTGATAGTTTTAAAGTAACAGTCCAGTTTTTCCAGATTTCTATGAAACATGACCTATAATTAATTACAAAAGGAGTGAAATATGTTTTACTTAAAAAATAAATGAAAAACTATGTTAAAAGCAGCTTTTCTGTGTTGGAATGGTATGGGTGTATCCCAATAACAGAATGGTGTGGGCGTATACTGGTCATTCAAAATATTAATGTGAGTAGACCCCTGATTGGCCTACTCATCCTATAATATGTTGTTAAAAATGCTTGCTATTTCCTCATACAGGATGATGTCTGAGGATGACCTCATCCTCTATGAAGAAAGAGCAAGCATTTTTTAAGTTTGAGGTGGGGGGGTTTAAGTGTTTTTCAGTTTTTCTCCGCTTTATGCTTTGTCCCAAATATGAGTCTGGGATGAGCCAACAACATTATTTGGGTATGAGTTAACAGAATATTGACTTTTAAAAGTGAGATATTCACTTGACAGATACTTAATAACCCTTTGACACATACGATCACATATTTATGATCATTGATGAGTGGTCCCTGCAGCGTACCATCGCAGATATGTGATTGGAACAGTAGCAACAAAACGAATAATAAAACAAACACATCTAAACAGCATTGTTGTCTGAAAGCATGTAAACTATGTTTTGTACTGATGGGAAATAAAGGTCTTCACAACTTTATTCCTCAATTTCACCTTTTATTGTAAAAGATAAATACGAACTTCATCATCTAAGCATCACACGGAACACATCCACAGCCAAACATATTCAATAAACCAGTCTAAATAACAGGTTGCACTGACAAAAAAACAAAGCATAAGTTAGTGACCTAACAGCTAGATTTGTTTACAATGTATCACATCTTTGCTGAGCACAAGGGAGAAATTAGAAATCAGTTAAGCTAACAGCAGCTAAATTATTTATGATGGCAGCCATGTTTGTTTGTTTGACAAGCGAAAACTCCCTAATCCCAGGATGCCATTCACTAAAACTCAAATAAACAAAGTCAAAGTCAAAGATGGCTGAAAATATTAACTTAGTTTGGCCACTTTTCAGCATATTACAAATATTTGATGTACTTGTTACAGTGTATACAAGAACCGGAGCACATGACTTGACAAGTCATTTACAGTTTTTAGAAATCACAAAGCAAGTAAAATGTTATCACCTCAAAGATCATCACCCCAAATAAAAGCCTAACCGTAGCGCGAAAGCTAAACAGGGATGAAACCATTTTAGGGAGGTTTGTGAGGGGGTTCATTTAATTTGAAGGGGGTTTTCAAGTCCATGGGGGGTAGAAATGGGGGAAGGTATCGTGGGGGGATATGATGCAGGAATTATTACTATGACGGGGGATTTATCAATAAATGAGGGGCAAACACAGGAGAAGTCTATAAGATAAATACAAATAAAACCCTGGAAAGGGGGTCTGAGCTGGCAACCCTGAGGTACCATAGTTACAATCTGATGCCACAATCAAAACAACTGGCAACTTAGAACTCGGAAATCTCTGAGTTCCGACTTCAGTGCATTCAAGACAACTGGGAACTCTGAAAAAAACTAGCTCTGACTGGGAAAAATAGTTTCCAACGGTCATCTAACTCGGAAATCTAACTCGGGAACTCAGGCCTCTTTCTAGACCTCTTACTTTCCGACCTGTAAGATCACTGACATCATGAGTTGACCTTGTATTATTCAGAGTTCCGAGTTGTCTTGAAAGCACCATAACTCAGTCGAGTGAACCATCCCTTAACCTCGTTTTGTTATAACATCTTTGGTGTGACGGACGCTTACGTGACACAAGAATATATTGTATGATGTCAACAAACATGGAGCCACACAACTGGCAAATAACTTATCATTAGCATAATCAGTACAACCTTCAAAAAATTATTTTACACACATATGTGTCCATTACAATCTATGCAAGAATCAAAATGCATGATTTGTTATCAGTACTTGAAAATGTGAATAAAACAGTAAATACATTATGCTCCATGCATACATACATTATACTACAGTAGAAACGACAACATGATATAAGGAAAGTAAGGCAATTACTTTGATAGGAACACATGTCCAAAGTATCTGTAAGGAAAACAACAATGAAGCCAATGCGAGCGCCAGCCAGAAAATGTGCCAGGTGGGAAAGGTTTGTGCAAGACCTGTTCTGACTAGAGATGCACAAATGTCTGCATACTTGATCTGGGGAAACACTGGGAAAGTGCTTGGGCTCTCGTCGAAGAGAGAAGTTTGTCGGGCTCAGTTAAGCCTCAAACATAAATTGTCCGCAACAGTGAAATGGGCGACTTCTTATGTGAATTAATGAGTAGCCGGAACACACCTCAATTCAAACTGTTAGAAAATAAAACTTTCAAATAATTTGAAATTGACAAGTTAAAACATAGCCTATAGATAATTAGCAGGCAGCATGCCTTGGTTTGAGGGCAGCGCGGGTTAAGTGTCCTGTTGCATGAAATCACATTTTGGAACAGTGAGTGCATTCTGATATCACGCGCATAAAAAAACTCCCGCTGGGGGTGACCGTTAGAGATATTTTGAACTCAAAAATATATGTTGAAGATTACTTGAATCAGCCTCAACAAACATCAGCTAACTTTAGCCTCCACAGGCTAACAATCAACAGAAGTGATGGAGAAATTTGAGCATGTTTTGTTTTCTTAAATGGCCAATACACCTTTAAGTAACATCAAACCAAATACAGAGTTGATTTTGAGTTGATTTCAGGTGATTTGGCCACCATATAACATCAAGTTGTAAAATCCTGAACTTCCCCTTTAAAAGCTGATGCTTGTCCTGAATTATTTTTCTTATGCAGATGTCACTGTGGAGTATAACAAGATGAAGATGTGCTATGAGAAACTGATGAGTTGCAAGCCTACAAATCGGTAACTATTGATCACTGAAACTTCCACTACTTTATCATGGCCTTTTCCTGTGGTCATGATTACCACTAATCAATTCCACACAGAATCTACAAAGACATTACGTCAAGAGTGTTTGACTCTTTTGATTTAAAAAAGGAGTTTACAACTGTCACCTTTGCCCTTTGTCTGCCTTGCAGGCTCCAATGCCCCAAGGCAGGTATTTTCCCATGCATATCTACTGGACTGGTGTTTCTGATGGAAGGGAAGGGAGATGTGGTTTCCATGATGACTCAATGGGACAGGAGCCTGCTGGGCTCCAGGATACCAGCAGGACCCCTATTCAGCATTGAATGCCCTGAGCAGTCTGTCCGCCAACTGCATCTCCCACACTGTATGTGTGATGGTAAGTGATGGATCGCTGTATGTGTGATGGTAAGTGATGCGTCACTGTATGTGTGATGATAAGTGATGCATCACTGTATGTGTGATGGTAAGTGATGCATAATTTCTAATAATACAATAATAAAAGGGGTATGACATGATACTACCACTGAATAATACATTCAATAATAATACATAATTTGGTGAGACTTACAGTCAATTAAAGCATTGTTCTTATTCTGCAGGGGAGAATGACATTTTGTCTGTGGCCCATATTATTGATGGCAACATGGAGATTTTTCATCCATTCAAGACAACTGCTACACATGTGATTGTAAACATCACACACCTCTCCCTCTTTGGCCTCATTAGAAATAGGTTCTCCTTCCACCCGGTCCAAAGCCAGGTGCTGCTGTTCCTCCAACCACAAGGGAACAGACCTCAGAAGTGCATACTGAATGTTTTTTTGTTGCCCAACAATGTACCACTTTGTGAGGTAATATTTACAGTATCAAGGAAATCATTATGTACACTGCAAGAGCTGTTTGGTACACTGAGAATGTAAACCTACAGTGGCTTCAGAAAATATTCACACCCCATGCCTTTTTCCAAGTTTTGTTGTCTCACAGCCTACATTTTAAATTCATTAAATTGAGATTTTGTGTCACTGGCCTACACACAATACCCCATAATGTCAAAGTGGAAATATGTTTTTCGAAATTGTTACTAATTTATACAAAATCTAAGCTGAAATGTATTTTACATTTACCAGACGCTCTTATCCAGAGCGACATATAGGGTTAAGTGCTTTGCTCAAGGGCACTTCGGCAGATTGTTCACCCAGTCGGTGGCTCAGAGATTTGAACCAGCGACCTTTCAGTTATTGGCCCACTAGGATACCTGAGTCAATAACTATTCAACCCCTTTGTTATGGCAAGCCTAAACAAGTTCAGGAGTAAACATGTGCATAACAAGTCACATAAGTGGCATGGACTCACTCTGTATGCAATAATAGTGTTTAACAGGATTTTTTTATGACTACCTCATCTCTGTACCCCACACAAACTGTAAAATTATTTTTAAGGTTCCTCAGTTGAGTAGTGAATTTCAAACACAGATTCAACCACAAAGACCAGGGAGATTTTACAATGTCTCGCAAAGAAGGGCACCTATTAGTATATGGGTAACCATAAAAAAAGCATACATTGAATCTTCATTTGAGCGTGGTGAAGTTCTTAATTACAATTTGGATGGTGTATGAAGAGGCTGTGATAGGAGAAAACTGAGGTTACTTCATAATACTAACCTAAATGACAGAGTGAAAAGAAGGAAGTCTGTACAGAATACAAATATTCCAAAACATGCATCCTGTTTTCAATACGGCATTAAAGTAAAAGCGTTATGTTTGGGGCAAATCCAACACAACACATCACTGAGTACCACTCTTCAAGCATGGGGGTGGCTGCATCATGTTATGGATATGCTTATTATCGTCAAGGACCATGGAGTTTTTTAGGATGAAAAGAAACGGAATAGAGCTAAGCACAGGCACAATCCTAGAGGAAAACCTGGTTCAGGCAGCTTTCCAATAGACACTGGGAGACAAATTCACCTTTCAGCAGGACAATAACCTTAAACGCAAGGCCAAATACACACTGGAGTTGCTTACCAAGACAACATTGAATGTTCCTGAGTGGCCTAGTTACAGTTTTTACTTAAATCGGCTTGAAAATCTATCGCAAGACTTGAAAATGATCAACAACCAACTTGAAAGAGCTTGAATAATTCTCTAAAGAATAATGTGCAAATATTGTACAATCCAGGTGTGCAAATCTCGTAGAGAGTTACCCAGAAAGATTCACAGCTGTAATCACTGCCAAATGTGATTCTAACATGTATTGAAATGTCAGAAGTTTGATTTCGAAAATTGATCTTATTGAAATTATGGCTTCTCAAACTAAATCTGAAATTGTGATAATTATTGAGACTTGGTAAAAAAAAGTATGTGCCAGACTCTGACATGTCTCTAAATGGATATAATGTTTATAGATCTGACAGAGCTAGCAGAGTTGGGGCTGTTGCCATATTCATAAAGAACAACTTGAATGTTACCATGTGTATCACCACCTCTGTCCTTAAGCAATTTGTATGCCTTGGTAATAATCCCCAACTAACGTTAGCTGGCGTTTATCGCCCTCCCTCTGCCCTCCTAATTGCTCTTAGCAAATTATCTGACTTGCTGTCTAACTTGCTGTCTAACTATACTATACTAATTATACTAATTATTAATATTGGGTGATTTTTAACCTGGATTGGTTGATGCCAGTATCAGACAGACTGAAATATATTTGTACTGGGTTAAATGTAACTCCAATGATAGCTAAATCAACCTGCCCCAACTTAAATCACCCTGAAAAATCTACTATTTTTTATATAATTCTGACAAACGCCCCTCATAAGTATACAGCCAATGGAATCTTTGCTAACGAGCTCAGTGACCATTGTCCCATTGCCTGCATTAGAGATACTAAGCTACCTAGATTATGTCCACGCATTATTACAAAGATAACAATTTTAACTTTCAATGAACAACATTTCCTGTATGACCTGGGATTGTGTGATTGGGAGGGTGTGTCCTCTATCGCTGACTCGGATCAGACCCTTAAACGTTTTACCTCTCTGTTTAACTCTGTTGTAGATAAGCATGTCCCATATAACAGATCAAAGGTAAAGGACAGATCTAACACATGGTTCACACATTCATTGTCTAAAATATTTAATGAAAGAAATTTAGCTTGGGCTTGGGCTAAGGCTAGATTGACTGATTCTTCCTGTGACTGGCAGTCCTTCAGACATTTGAGAAATAGATGTCTTGCTCTAGTTAGAAAAGCAAAGTCAATATACTTCTTGAATTGTGTGTCTGAGAGTGGTGGAAATCCAGCATAATTCTGGAAAGTGGACAAATCTTTGAGAAAAAAAACTCAACCCCCCCCATTGCCCTAGCAGGTTATGACAGCCTCTGGTTATGACAGCCTCTAGTCCCATAACAGACAAAAATGACATTTGTGGTGCTTTTAATAACCATTTTGCCTCAGCTAGCCATCTTTTTGAAGAAATGGTTTCTGAAAATACCTCAAGCTCCACTAGAGGGAGGCCTTTATTCACCTCTCAGCAAATAGTAGAGAATGATGCACTTCCAGGCACTCACTGTTTATTTTTTCATTTTAATGATTTTATGCCAATGATGTATTAGGTGCCCTGCAAAAAAAAAAATATATGTAAAAAAAATAGATTGGATCTGATTCACTTGATCCCTTTCTACTGCAGCTTTTTGCTCCCCTCATTGTAGAACCTTTGACGCACCATTTTAATTTAACAATTGCTTCTGGTGTTATCCCTAAGATCCGGAAGGTGGCGCATGTCCTCCCTCTTTACAAAGGTGTGGATCCTTCTGACATGGATAACTACCGCCCAATCTCTAAACTATCTTGCCTTGCAAAAATATTAGAATCACTGGCAAACTCTCAGCTAAGAACTTCAAATTGTATTCTTAATGTGTACCAGTCTGGTTTTAGACATATAGCTCTATCAGCAGATACGCTTCAATTATATATTAAATTGCTTAGATCATAGGAATCACTGTGCTGAGATATTTATAGATCTATCCAAGGCTTTTGATACCGTCGACCACTCCCTACTCATTCAAAGGTTGTCTGAAATGCGCCTTGACCAGGCGTCTTGCAAGTAGTTTGGGAACTATCTGTCAGACAGGACACAATTTGTGCTTTCTGATGGTGTTAAGTCAAGTTACCTCAATATTACTAAAGGTGTCTGACAGGGGTCGATTTTGGGACCTGTCCTCTTTTCTACTTTTATAAAAAATATTGGTCTATCAGCAAAAACCTGTACGCAGATGACACTGTTATGTACGATATTGCCCCATGGCTTAACAGGCTATGTTGTAGCTGCAATCTGATTTTGTTGTCTTGCAGAAAGTCCTTGTCAATTTGAAATTGGTACATAATGCTGGAAAAACTAAATGTATGCTGTTTTCTAATTATATCATATAAATATTTCAGATTACTTACATATTTATGCATCGAGCAGGTTCCCGCCTATAAATATCAGGGCTTTTAGACTGACAATAAATTGACGTTTAAAATACACAAATTACTCAAGTAAAAGTGAAAGTCACCCAGTAAAATAAAATACTAATTAAGTAAAAGTCAAAAAGTATTTGGTTTGAAATATACCTAAGTATCAAAAGTAAATGTAATCGCTAAAATATACGTAACTATCAAAAGTAAAAGTAAAAGTATAAATCATTTCAAATTCCTTATATTAAGCAAGCCAGACGGCACCATCTTCTTGTTTTTCTTATAATTTACGGATAGCTAGGGGGACACTCCCAACACTCAGACATAATTTACAAACGAAGTATTTGTGTTTAGTGAATCCGCCAGACCAGGGATGTTCTCTTGATAAGTGCGTGAATTAGACAATTTTCCTTTCCTGCTAAGCATTCAACATGTAATGAGTACTTTTGGGTGTCGGGGAAAATGTAAGGAGTAAAAAGTACATTATTTTATTTTGGAATGTAGTGGAGTAAAATTAAAAGTTGACAAAAATATAAATAGTAAAGTAAAGTACAGATACCAAAAAAAACGACTTAAGTAAGTACTTTACACCACTGCCCTTTGCTTTATCACAGGTGACAGTTTTAATACGCATCACTGTGTCCTGTATCAAAAGGTTGACTGGTCCTCATTAATGTCCCATATGTCACTTCATTACTCCCTCTTTGTTTACAAATCTATACTACACAAACTTCTGACTTACTTAATTTCATTGCTGAAGTATAAAAACATGAGCTACCAAACCTTTCACAGGGTTGGTTAACTCTTAAGGTTCCTCGGGTCTCCACCTAATTAGGTAAATCCGCTTTTAGTTTTAATGCGCCCCACTGCTGGAACAATCTGCAGATCTCATTCAAATGTGATGTTCTGGTGCCACTCAGGCAGTTTAGTGTTGATTGAGGACTTAGTAGCTGAGAAATGCAACTGTTGTTTGTGATTGTGTTTTTGCTTTTCTGGTGCATTTTAACATGTATTTATGGATGTGTAGTTTAAATGTGTATATTGTATCATGCTGTGTATTGTGTACACAGGGCTCAACTGGAAATGAGACCCTCGGTCTCAGGGTTGTGAATAAATTTGCAAACATTTCTAAAAACATTTTCACTCTGCCATTATGGGGTTTTGTGTGTAGATGGGTGAGAAAAAAATGATTTTAATCCATTATGAATTCAGGATTTAACACAACAAAATATGGAATAAATTATGGGGTATGAATACTTTCTGAAGGCACTGTAGCTATTGCTCTAGCTGGATAAATGATGGTAAAATGGCTCATTACCGTTACTTGATTTCTCTCAGAACTGTTAGTATGAACGTATTTGATCAGTTTGCCGTGAAGTAATGCACCTATATTCTTCAAAGGTGGAACGTCAACAGAGAGGGAGTACTTTCATTCAAACCAGCTCCAACTGCACATTGACTCCTAGAGGAAAATATGGTCTCTGCTGTGAGCTGGTGGCAAATTCTAGGATACAGCCAAAAGTAAGCATGGCCATCACATACAACCATACAGTCTTATATACAGTGGGGAGAACAAGTATTTGATACACTGCCGATTTTGCAGGTTTTCCTACTTACAAAGCATGTAGAGGTCTGTAATTTTTATCATAGGTACACTTCAACGGCGAGAGACGGAATCTAAAACAAAAATCCAGAAAATCACATTGTATGATTTTTAAGTAATTAATTTGCATTTTATTGCATGGCATAAGTATTTGATACATCCGAAAAGCAGAACTTAATATTTGGTACAGAAACCTTTGTTTGCAATTACAGAGATCATACGTTTCCAGTAGGTCTTGACCAGGTTTGCACACACTGCTGCAGGGATTTTGTCACACTCCTCCATACAGACCTTCTCCAGATCCTTCAGGTTTCAGGGCTGTTGCTGGGCAATACAGACTTTCAGCTCCCTCCAAAGATTTTCTATTGGGTTCAGGTCTGGAGACTGACTAGGCCACTCCAGGACCTTGAGATGCTTCTTACGGAGCCACTCCTTAGTTGCCCTGGCTGTGTGTTTCGGGTCATTGTCATGCTGGAAGACCCAGCCACGACCCATCTTCAATGCTCTTACTGAGGGAAGGTTGTTGGCAAAGATCTCGCGATACATGGCCCCATCCATCCTCCCCTCAATACGGTGCAGTCGTCCTGTCCCCTTTGCAGAAAAGCATCCCCAAAGAATGATGTTTCCACCTCCATGCTTCACGGTTGGGATGGTGTTCTTGGGGTTGTACTCATCCTTCTTCTTCCTCCAAACACAGCGTGTGGAGTTTAGACCAAAAAGCTCAATTTTTGTCTCATCAGACCACACGAACTTCTCCCATTCGTCCTCTGGATCATCCAGATGTTCATTGGCAAACTTCAAACGGGCCTGGACATGCGGCAATTGTGCAAGTTCTCCCACTTAAAAAGACGAGAGAGGCCTGTAATTTTCAGAATTTCTTTTCTCCAGAAAATCACATTGTAGGATTTTTAATGAATTTATTTGCAAATTATGGTGGAAAATAAGTATTTGGTCACCTACACACAAGCAATATTTCTGGCTCTCACAGACCTGTAACTTCTTCTTTAAGAGGCTCCTCTGTCCTCCACTCGTTACCTGTATTAATGGCACCTGTTTGAACTTGTTATCAGTATAAAAGACACCTGTCCACAACCTCAAACAGTCACACTCCAAACTCCACTATGGCCAAGACCAAAGAGCTGTCAAAGGACACCAGAAACAAAATTGTAGACCTGCACCAGGCTGGGAAGACTGAATCTGCAATAGGTAAGCAGCTTGGTTTGAAGAAATCAACTGTGGGAGCAATTATTAGGAAAAGGAAGACATACAAGACCACTGATAATCTCCCTCGATCTGTGAATGGTGAGCAAAAATCCCAGAACCACACGGGGGGACCTAGTGAATGACCTGCAGAGAGCTGGGGCCAAAGTAACAAAGCCTACCATCAGTAACACACTACGCCGCCAGGGACTCAAATCCTGCAGTGCCAGACGTGTCCCCCTGCTTAAGCCAGTACATGTCCAGGCCCGTCTGAAGTTTGCTAGAGTGCATTTGGATGATCCAGAAGAGGATTGGGAGAATGTCATATGGTCAGATGAAACCAAAATATAACTTTTTGGTAAAAACTCAACTCGTTGTGTTTGGAGGACAAAGAATGCTGAGTTGCATCCAAAGAACACCATACCTACTGTGAAGCATGGGGGTGGAAACATCATGCTTTGGGGCTGTTTTTCTGCAAAGGGACCAGGACGACTGATCCGTGTAATGGAAAGAATGAATGGGGCCATGTATCGTGAGATTTTGAGTGAAAACCTCCTTCCATCAGCAAGGGCATTGAAGATGAAACGTGGCTGGGTCTTTCAGCATGACAATGATCCCAAACACACCGCCCGGGCAACGAAGGAGTGGCTTCGTAAGAAGCATTTCAAGGTCCTGGAGTTGCCTAGCCAGTCTCCAGATCTCAACCCCATAGAGTTGAAAGTCCGTGTTGCCCAGCGACAGCCCCAAAACATCACTGCTCTAGAGGAGATCTGTATGGAGGAATGGGCCAAAATACCAGCAACAGTGTGTGAAAACCTTGTGAACACTTACAGAAAACGTTTGACCTGTGTCATTGCCAACAAAGGGTATATAACAAAGTATTGAGAAACTTTTGTTATTGGCAAAATACTTATTTTCCACCATAATTTGCAAATAAATTCATAAAAAATCCTACAATGTGATTTTCTGGATTTTTTTTCTCATTTTGTCTGTCATAGTTGACGTGTACCTATGATGAAAATTACAGGCCTCTCTCATCTTTTTAAGTGGGAGAACTTGCACAATTGGTGGCTGACTAAATACTTTTTTTCCCCACTGTATTCCTTTGTAATGTGCTATTACTGGTTTGTGGTGTTGGGTTTGATTAGTGTTTTTTATGTGCATATACCTGACACCATGAAGTTCCCACAGGAAAAAAAGGTTGTATGTGCTTTATGGCCAGCTACAGTATTTCTAGCTCTCTTTTGCTGTCTGTATTTGGCTAATATTCTTTTTCATTTTGTGTTTCAGAGTGGGCAGTTTGACTATGACTATAGCCCAAACTTCCACCCCACATTTCAGGTGTTTTTGGACTGCATGTTGGGTGCAGAGAACATCAGACTGAGACTTTTAGACAGAGGACGAAATGACCAAAGAGTGTGGGAGTGTCTGGTTCCAACAGGTTAGATCAAATGCCAGTTTGCTATTAACCTGTACACCCCTCACAACCTACTTATTTAAACTGTATTCAACACACATGATAAAATCAATCTGATTCAATTTTCTTCAGATTTCGAACCACCTCAAATCAATCCGATCAACCCTAATCCAGGTATGGTTTGGTTTTCTCTTTCATTGTCTATGGCTAAACCTCTGATATGGAATGTGTTTGAGTGTCACACAAAGGAATCAATCATTGTTTTGTTAACTTTTATTTTAGAAATAAAGCATCAAGTGATCAGTCCTGTATATACTGTATATATTTATACTCCGGACTCCGACATTGCTCTTCCTAATTTTAATTCCATTATTTTACTTTTTAGATGTGTGTATTGTTGTGTAGAGATATATGTTAGATATTATTACACTGTTGGAGCTAGGAACACAAGCATTTCTCTATACCCTCAATAACATTTGCTAAATTTGTGTGTTCAACCAATAACATTTTATTTTATTTGTTAAAAGAAACACATTCAGACAAATATGTTTTGTTGTGTTTAGTGGCTTGTTATGTAGAACACACGTTTTCTTCAGGGTTTTAGTTAATTATGGCTCTAATAATATGACCTAGTTGTGTATGCATTTTCTGACATGAATCTCAGGTGCTGAGGCTGAACTGAACCAGCTCTCGGGTGAAGAATTTGTGGATAATCATATGGCTGATCTCATTCAGAGGGTCACGATGGTGCGATCTGTATCAGATTACCTGCTTGCGAAGAATATGATCCAAGATGAAATGTGTGCAAGAATCCGCAGGGCTTCTACCAATCAGGAACAAATGAGAATAATGTTTGAGGCTGTACGAGCAGGAGGACCAAGAGTGAAATATGCCTTCTACAAAGCACTCCAAAAACATGAGCCTTGTGTTGTCCAGGACCTGGGTAAGCTCAAACTCCTCTAGTCCCCTGTAGCTCAGTTGGTAGAACATGGTGCTTGCAACAACAGGATAGTGGGTTCGATTCCCAGGAGCACCCGTACGTAAAAATATATGCATGCATGACTGTAAATCCCTTTGGATTAAAGCGTCTGATAAATGTTGTATATTTTATTATTATTGCTCTCCCACTATGAGTACCTGAAACATGGAGGGAGATTAGAACGGCCCCTTAACTTGCAAAGTTCCCCAAAATAACCCTAATATTTCAAATAGACGTCCCACACTTAGGGCTTGTACAGACAGAATACATGAAGTATTCATCATTCCCACTACAGTCGTGGTCAAAAGTTTTGAGAATGACACAAATACAAATTTTCACAGTCTGCTGCCTCAGTTTTGATGATGGCAATTTGCATATACTCCAGAATGTCATGAAGAGTGAACAGATGAATTGCAATTAATTGCAAAGTCCCTCTTTGCCATGAAAATGAACTTAATCCCCAAAAAACATTTCCACTGCATTTCAGCCCTGCCACAAAAGGGCCAGCTGCCATCATGTCAGTGATTCTCTCTTTAACACAGGTGAGAGTGTTGACGAGGACAAGGCTGGAGATCACTCTGTCATGCTGATTGAGTTAGAATAACAGACTGGAAGCTTTAAAAGGAGGGTGGTGCTTGAAATCATTGTTCTTCCTCTGTTAACCATGGTTACCTGCAAGGAAACACGTGCCATCATCATTGCTTTGCACAAAATGGCTTCACAGGCAAGGATATTGCTGCTAGTAAGATTGCACCTAAATCAACCATTTATCGGATCATCAAGAACTTCAAGGAGAGAGGTTCAATTGTTGTGAAGAAGGCATCAGGGCGCCCAAGAACATCCAGCAAGCTCCAGGACCGTCGCCTAAAGTTGATTCAGCTGCGGGATCGGGGCACCACCAGTGCAGAGCTTGCTCAGGAATGGCAGCAGGCAGGTGTGAGTGCATCTGCACGCACAGTGAGGCGAAGACTTTTGGAGGATGGCCTGGTGTCAAGAAGGGCAGCAAAGAAGCCACTTCTTTCCAGGAATAACATTAGGGACAGACTGATATTCTGCAAAAGGTACAGGGATTGGACTGCTGAGGACTGGGGTAAAGTCATTTTCTCTGATGAATCCCCTTTCCGATTGTTTGGGGCATCCGGAAAACACCTTGTCCGGAGAAGACAAGGTGAGCGCTACCATCAGTCCTGTGTTATGCCAACAGTAAAGCATCCTGAGACCATTCATGTGTGGGGTTGCTTCTCAGCCAAGGGATTGGGCTCACTCACAATTTTGCCTAAGGACACCGCCATGAATAAAGAATGGTACCAACATATCCTCCGAAAGCAACTTCTCCCAACCATCCAAGAACAGTTTGGTGACGACCAATACCTTTTCCAGCATGATGGAGCACCTTGCCATAAGGCAAAAGTGATAACTAAGTGGCTCTGGGATCAAAACATCAAAAATGTGGGTCCATGGCCAGGAAACTCCCCAGACCTTAATCCCATTGAGAACTTGTGGTCGATCCTCAAGAGGCGTTGGAAAAAACAAAAACCCACAAATTCTGACAAACTCCAAGCATTGATTATGCAAGAATGGGCTGCCATTAGTCAGGATGTGGCCCAGAAGTTAATTGACAGCATGCCAGGGCGGATTGCAGAGGTCTTGAAAAAGAAGGGTCAACACTGCAAATATTGACTCTTTGCATAAACTTAATGTAATTGTCAATAAAAGCCTTTGACACTTATGGAATGCTTGTAATTATACATCAGTATACCATAGTAACAGCTGACAAAAATATCTCATAACACTGAAGCAGCAAACTTTGTGAAGACCAATACTTGTGTCATTCTCAAAACTTTTGACCACGACTGTACAATATTGTAAGGTATTGTTGCAGAGTTCAGTGCAGTTTTGTGGACAGAGAGTGTATTCTTATGTGTGTATTCAGTGTGTATTCCCATAGTGAATGGGGGGGGACGGACACAATGCAAGTAGTCCAGGCAGCCATTTGATTACCTGTTCAGGAGTTTTATGGCTTGGGGGTAGAAGCTGTTAAGAAGCCTTTTGGACCTAGACTTGGCGCTCCGGTAGTGTGTATTCTTCTGCATTTTGATGGGAAGTATGTACATTTACAGTAAGATTTCTAATCACATTCTTCTACCAATGGCAGCAGCAGCTTCCCACTGATGAATGGGATGGCTTGGGTTGGTCCTCGACCGCTGGACAAAGGGCAGCAAGTGGGCCCTCTTCAGGAGCAGGATATGAGAATACTACAGTCATTATGCTCCTAATCCGCATTGGAGTGTTGGGAGACATGACAGCAGAAAGTCTATGATGATTAAAAGTTAAAACTGTTGCGTTAACCTGGAGAAATCCAGTGTGTTTGTGCTAACATTCCACTCAAACAGTCTGGCTGTATGGCATGACAAGAATCAATCAAAATCGAAGTTCATTCGTTACGTGCACAGGATACACTGTGTGAGTGTGTAAATTAATGAATATGCGTGAGTGTGTGTGGGTGGGAATGTGTGGAGTGGTGTGCATAGACAGCCAGTGATTGCAGGTAGACAGTCATTGATAAGCAGTTCAGCAGTCTTAATGCTTCAGAGCTCGCCCCCAGTGATGGACTGTGTAGTCTTCCCACCCTCTCTAAAGCCTTGTGGTGGAGGGCGGTGCAGCTGCCATACCAGGCGGTGATACAGTAGAAGCTGGTGAGGATCTGAAGGGCTATGCCAAGTTTCTTTCAGCCGCCTGAGGAAGAACAGGTTCTTGTGGTGGTTCACTGGTGTGCCTTCTTGATAAATGCACCAAGGAGAGGCAAGGAGTGGAATGTTATCACAAACACACCAGATTTCTTCAGGCTAGTAATGTGTCCTAGTGTTTACAATCATTCTTAACCATATTCATTTTTAAATGTCTTTTGTCTTAATTCAATTTTCAAATTTTTCTAATTTACTTATATTAATGTAGTGAATATAAATTACTATTTTAATGTTGAAATGTTGACATTTAACACCATTCAGTTTCTACAAATGCGCTGAACTATAAGGGTGCTGAGTCATGTTATTAATAGTCCAGATTGTATGTTTCTGACTTACCTACTCCTGTTCTCTGGTGGTAGCCTACACAGGTCCAGCCACCACATATAGATAGAGGGAAATAAATATGCTAGAGGGCAAACTTTAACCTTGTCATGGTCCAATTGTTGCTGTTTACCAAAGTTTCCATTCTATTTCTCTGAAATGTTGCCATACTCTACTTTTGGAATAGCAAGCCTCTATTGAAACAGTGTAGTCAGTATATTATATGCAATTTTGAGTGTTGTCAAATTTTTCGGTTTATTTAATTGGTCTGAATTTTCATATCTTATCAAAAAGTCCTTTATTACATAGATATTTACTAAGTATGTCTGCTATTGAATGGATGCATATTCTTTGAGCTACTGCAGTTATTGAGATCTTTTTATTTTATTTTATTAATCATGTGTTGATGGTTTATTTTCATTAATTCAAAGGATTGATGTGGCTATTGTTTATGATTGAATTATTGGTTAATCATTTTATGCATGCTTTTATGCATACATAATATCTGGATATGTTTCTTTCCAATTGACCATTTAACAAAAATGTTATGTTTAGTAATTTTCTATTTTGTGTATTTTTTTGTATTGTTAAATGATTCCCTGCCGTGTCCATTGTGGGGGAAAGGGGATGTTTGAAAATCATGTCCTGTTATGGGTTTATTTCTCAATAAATAATGACTATAAATAGTTATGGTGTGGCGATTCCCTTCACATGAAATAACATGGTGTAGTGTTTAGGGTGAGGGGGGTTAATGATTGTACTAACAAAATAGCTACTATATGGTGAATACCAACGTTCAACATGATTATAATTCATTATTATCATTGGTCTTATTACAATAAATACATCTTGCTATATTTATTTTATCAATGTGTAACACTGCCATGTTATGCCACCCCAGCTTTCAACAGGAGCATTAGGATCTCTCTCTAACACATACACATGTTCTAAAAATCCAGGTTGAGCTGGCAAATGTGGAAATGAGCAAACCACCACCAGGTAACTCTTTTCTTTAGAGTTAAAAAAAGACAAAGCCCATTCAACATGTAGGTTACTGAACCAGATGGACAAACATCACCCAGTGTTCATTATCAACAGTACAGTATATACTTACAACAGGACAGGGGCAGGAGAAAGTCAGAGTGAAACTGGGCATCAAACTTTAATTATTCTTCAAAAACTGGGTCAAACTTAGATCTCAAATCAAAACCAATAGCTCTATTCCCTCTCATGTGCTCCTTCCACTCTGCGGCCACACCCAGGTCTCATCACACCTGATATTGATGAACCTCTTCAGCCAAGGAGAAGAGTTCAGAAATTAGACAGCCTTCACCAGGTTAAACAACAGCACGGAAGGAAAATAGTGCCAAGGGCTTTGTCAACCATGTTACAAATGTACAAAGCAAAGCACTTTTTGTATTTAATAAACACACACAATTCAAAGACACAGCAGCAATGCCACACAACTACAAAATCAATCTGCAGGAGGCCATATGTACAGTTGAAGTCGGAAGTTTACATACACTTAGGTTGGAGTCATTAAAACTTGTTTTTCAACCACTCCACAAATTTCTTGTTAACAAACTATAGTTTTGGCAAGTCGGTTAGGACATCTACTTTGTGCATGACAAGTAATTTACAGACAGATTATTTCACTTATAATTCACTGTATCACAATTCCAGTGGGTTAGTAGTTTACATACACTAAGTTGACTGTGCCTTTAAACAGCTTGGAAAATTCCAGAAAATGATGTCATGGCTTTAGAAGCTTCTGATAGGCAAATTGACATCATTTGAGTCAATTGGAGGTGTACCTGTGGATGTATTTCAAGGCC